CTGTTTCTCTTTCCGTACACTATTCTTTAGAAGAGAGTCACTAAATCCAGCCCACACTCGAGGGGTGGGGAATGTATTTTAAAATTGCATTCTATCAATCCTTATTTAATATCTTTTTACCCCCCACTTCTCAGTGTCCACTCAGTTCCTGAGCCCTTGAAGATTCTGTGATACACATCAGTTCGGTTCTTGGCTTTCCCCACTATATCTCAAGTACTTTCCTGCATTCCAGCTAGCAAAATTTTGTTTCTATTATCTCCCTTGTCTTTGTATTTATAGTTTTATGGGCTTTAGAAGATCCATTTTTTTGGTAGTTTTAGTGGGATTTCAGAGGAAGTGAAATTGAATTATTATGTTCAATCTGCCATCTTTATCTGGAAGCCTTGGGGGAAACATTTTTTAATCATCAAAATTGACATTTAATCTGTTTGGATTTGCCATTTATGTTTGTTATAATTCTACCATTAATATAATCCATGGAATCACTGAATGCTTTTTTGGGTATCATTGTTGTATTTCATAAAACATTGTGATCAGTGAAAAACTTCAGTTCACAGCTAGAGAAGTAAGGCTTCTAATGTCGGTTGGTGTGATTAGCCCTCATTATCAAAGGTAAATTAGGGTTACTGCTATAAAGCCAGGCTTATGCTGGGTATGTTATTAAGTCTAACAGAAAACAAGGCAGACTTGGATACCTCAGGAATCTAAGTTTGTGTTAGTCAACCAGGCAAAGAATCGGCTATGCTAGCCAAAGACAACCAAAACTTGAATGGGTAGAGAAGGGGAGTTAAAATTTCCATATTGGCTTCTTGACCAGTTGCATAAATGAGGATTGGAGCCCTCTGAATATGTGATGCCTTTCTTTTCCCCTCCCTTGTCTCTCATCTTTATGTTTCTAGAGTAGTGTTAGCTTTACAGTACAAGGGAAAGGAAGGCAAGACACAGAGAATTCCCCCATATTCCCTGCCCCAACACAGGCATAGCCTCTTTCATTCACCAGAATGGTACATTTTTATTTTAATAAATAAATTAATTACCAAGGATGACTCTATATTGACATATATCATAACCACCCAAAGTCTGTAGTTTACCTCAGGTGCTGTAGTTTGTATGGGTTTGGATAAATGTATGAGGACATATGTCTATATAATATCATACAGAGTATTTCCACTGCCCTAAAAATCCTCTGCGCTCTGCCTGTTTGTCCGTCTCCAATCCCCTGACAACCACTGACCTTTTTACTGTCTCCGTAGCTTTGCCTTTTCCAGAATGTCCTAGAGTTGGAATCATACAGTATGTAGTTTTTTTTCCTCTTTTATGTTCCTACAATTTTATATCAAGTGTTTTGATATTGGTTTTGTTTATCATTTAGTGACTAGGTTGCATTTTTTTCCTATGCATTTTTATAGTTTTTGTTACTTTTTCTATTGGTAATGGGACTATATGGCTCAAAAGCCCAAACAGTACAGAATATATATTGAGAATACTCCCTCTTGTCTCCGTCTACCTTGTTCTCCTTTACCTTACCCACTGTAAGTAACCACTTTTATTAGTTTTTTGTGTGTCTCTTGGTGTTTATGCAAGTATAAACAACTTCCCCTTCTCCTCCACTTCCTCCTCCTCCTTCTTCTTTTTCCACAACAGATAACTGTTCTGTGTTCTCTTCACTGAATAATTTGTATTTGTTCATAGGGGTTTTCCTTGTTCTTTTTTACAGCTCTGTCGGTGTCCCAATATGTATTCAACCAGTTCCCTTACAGAAAATGACTTCCGTTTGTTTCTTAATATACTGTTGGTTTTGCAAATAGAATAAACTCTTACGAATCTCATTTTGTAGGTGTGTAGATATATTTTTATATAAATTCCCAAAAGTGAGAAAGTTGCAGAATATTGACTTAGCATTACAGGGTACCTGGAGTGGGATCAGCTCTCATCTGTTTTGAGAGTCAGGGACAATGAGGAAAATAGCAACCATCTTTAGTATTTACAACAGAGAAAACATAAGGCAGGGAAGTTACTGCCAGATGATAGAACTAACTGAGAAAGTGAAGCAACCCAGAGATTAGTAACAGTGGAAAAGCCACTGCATGTAACCTGGAGAGACAAAAGTAAGAAAGCTGTGTCGCTGAGTCCCAGAGCTGGGGCTCATCTGTTGCATCCTTGGAGCTCTAAGGACCTGTCTAGTGAGCGCTGGGGCCCCTATGGAGTTACAGTCACTGCCAGAGAAGTTCCTGAGATAGAAGGGAGAGGGAGCGGACTATCCAGCCTTCGTCCTTCCTACCCCCATCCTCCAGTCTTTGAGAAACCAGCTGATAGTGAGCCTGGGCACCACAGTTTGGAGAAGCTGGTGGCCCCCTCATAGGTTGCAGAGCAGCAGAAGGGCAAACATGAATTTGAGGACCAATGGGCTCAACATCTATAGAGCCCACCCCTTTTACAGCCTAGCTTTTAAGCTCACTCTTCTACTCACATTTAATACTTTCCTACTTCTGCCCAACGTACAAACAAAGACACTCCTTCTCTGCACACAAGAAGAGAGACTCCAAGTCCTGTTAGTCATTGTATCCTTTTCAAGTTCAGGACCTGCTGGTGATCCTCATTCCTCTCCAGCAGGTCTAGAGGTGAATTGTGGCCTGGTGACCTATGAACAAAATTGTAAATTAAGTTCCACTCACACTCTGTACATAACTACAGTGGGGAAAGAGAAAAAGTATAAATCATTGGTTAATGTGTACGTAACAAAAATACACATTAGTGATACAGTCTTTGTAAAAAAGTCATGGTCCATATTGATCGCTTCCCTATTCTACCACTTACTTCATATTTCCTTTGTTTTTAACCAACATTGCAGGTGGTTAGGGTTCTTTACTTAGCAGGGGGTCAGGATATGTTCAGAACAATTGAAAAACACGTTGGAATTTCAACAGAGAGAATTTAATGTAGGGAATTGGTTAAGCAGTTTTGGAGAACTGTAAAGGCAGAGAAGAGGATACCGAGCTAACCCAGGGAGAGGAACTCCAGGAACTCCAGGAACTCTACTCTAGGCCTGGGGAGACAAGAGGAAGCTCAAAGGAGGGGCCCTCAGACCTTGGAGTGGGAGCCATGGCCTAACTATTGCTGATGTCTTTGATTAGGCATGATGAGCCTGGTTCTAGAAGTGCCCCCCAAAAGTTGAACCTTATCATTGCTAATCACTTGTCAGGAAAGGAGTGCTTCTGTTCTCCCGTCTTCTGCCTTGCAGAATTCAAAAAGGAAGTCAGCTGGCAACACAGACATAGAGTTCCCATAGTCCCAGCCCTTGCATCATAAAACAGAGCATGGAAGTAGATTTGGACTGAGAGGCAATGGTTTAATGACAGGGACAGCTCATCATATTGCCTACTGCATGTCCATACACAACTTTCTCCATATATTTCAACTTCCTGTGCAGCAATTCCAAATTCCAGCCATTTCTTTAACAAGATACAACTACCCTTTGTAGAAATAGGCGCTCTCACCTTTTCCCCCAAAAAGGGAAGGTTCCAAATGTCATAACATTCATGTCTGGATGATGTCAATTACTCAAGTTCAGCTGGAGTCCCTCTTAAGTATTCTGTAATCTAAAGATGAAATTGTAAGTTAACCACTGCCATTAATTCTTAAAATTACAATAGGAAGGGAGAAGGAAAAAAATTACTTAATATGTGCAAAAATACATAAACACACACATATGTGCACAAACATTAAGCAAAGAAGAAAATAAGGTCTAGATATTAGTCCTTTTTTCTGTCTGGTTATAAGCCTGTGGTTGATGTTTCTAACTTCCTTCTTCCCCTACTCATTTCATCTTCCCTTTGCTCTGAGCCAGCATCTACCCCAGGTGATGTGATCCAACACTTCACTCCCAAAGGCTCTGAATCTTCAGTGGTCCTGTCTTTTCTTGGTTACTGTCATTTTCCACTAACTTTTACAGTGGGCATGTTGGGAAGAAAATGAATATAGGTGACACAAAGGAGAGAGAATTGACGTGCTTGGTGATGACCACATGTGGAATGAGAGAACGGTGTAATATTTGTACCACCCATGTGACAGTTCTGGTCTGAGTTTGAGTGGAGCGTGGACAGATCTGGGCTTACTATAGTATTACCAACTGTCCTAGTTTGACCCGGATGGAGGGATTTCCTGGAACCTGAGACTTCCTGTGCTAAAACTGGAGAAGTCCCTGGCAACACGGGACAAGTTGGTCACCCTGGCCTGGTAGGAACTGGTGGGGCAGATTAATGACAGCAACTTCTTGGCAGGAGGACTGAGTCCAGTCATCATCTGGGATAACAGGTCCTTAGGGAGTGAGCAGTCAAGAAGCCTTAAACTTGCAGTAAGAGAGCCTTTCGTGGTGGAGGGAAATAGTGATTCTTAGTCCTCCGTGGCGGCTGCCATTCAGATCAATCCCTAACCCATGGACCCTATGGGACCAGTGTGGGCTCTAGGGAGAGAGGAGGTTGGAAGTAAAATCTGTGAAATCTAGCAGAGGGTAACCCAGGGGAGACAGCTTCCTTCTCATCACAGACCACCCCACTGCTCTGGAAACTTGAGGGCTTTAGTGCAGTGGTGACTTCAGTTGAGGGTGGGCTGGGGGGTATTGCAAGGGATGGGGAGTAGGAACTTGATAACATATATTGGCATGTTCTGTACTAGCGCTTATAGAAGAACTGACGTGCTTGGCCAGACAGAATTATATTCACGCAGGTGGGGCATACATCAGTGAAATATAAGTTATTACTACAAACATGACATCAACAGGCTGGGGAGTGCAGAGGCCAGAGGAAACTTGGCAACACTGGCTTTTCTGGAAGCAGTATCAGTAGGAAAGGATGGGTTGATTATGATTACTTTCCTTATAATATTGTGCCACCTAGTGTTAACTTTAATGTACTTCTTTTGTCCTAGCTCCATGACTAAGAATTAAGAATCTGAGAAGTTTCCAAAGTCATCACTCATTTGTTATTTTTCTCATTCAACAGATACTGATTGAATACGTTCTATATGTAAATCACTTTCCTAGGTATTGAAATTACAGCTGTGAAAAAAAACGTGAATTGATGGAAGCTTACATTCTTGTGGGGATAAAGATAACGCCTAAGTAAAATGTATCCTATACTATATAGTTATAAATGTGAAGGAGAAAAAAATCAACCAAGGAAGGAAGAATTAAATTTAAGGTTTTGTGGGGAAGGGTCTATAATTTTAAATCAGGTGGTCAGCAAAGCCTCTGAGTAAAAAAGACATAGTGAGGGAGAATTTCAGGCAGAGGAAATTGTGCAAAAGCCCCAAGGTGGAAACATGCTTGGTGAGTTCAAGGAACAGTGAGGACGAACCGGCTGAACTAGGGGGAGAGCATTAGGAGATAAGAGCCTTTGGAATCACAGTAAGAACTATCACACTTATTTAGAGGTTGGAAATCCTAACAGAGTTTTGAGCAGGGACATGGTGTTGTGTATCATTTATTTATTTATTTTTTCTTAGAGAGAGAGAGAGAGAGAGAGAGAGAGAGAGAGCCCAAGTAGGGAGGAGGAGCAGAGGGAGAGGGAGAAGCAGACTCCCCACTGAGCAGAGAGCCCGACATGGGGCTTGATCTTAGGACCCCAGGATCATGACCTGAGCCGAAAGCAGATGCTTAACCAGCTGAGCCACCCGGGCGCCCCTTGTGTACCGTTTAATAGGTTCACTCTGACTGCTGTGTTGAGAACAGACTGAAAGACAATTCGGTCAAAAGCAGGGAGAGCAGTAAGATACTAATAATCCAGGTGAGAGATTACAACGTGAGCCAGATGAATGACAATGAAGGAGGAGTAAGGTGATAAGAAATTGTTAACGCCTATTTTGCTCTGCCCTACCTCAAGGCTTTGGGACTAAATTATTTGGGAGAGTAAGGAAAAGGAAGGAAGCGGCCACTTGTAGGTTTTTAATTCACCTGGATTTGGTTTCTGTGTATGGTGAGAGAGAATGCAATTTAATTTCTTTCATAGGAATATTCTGTTTTCCCGGCACCATTTATTAAAAGATTACCTTTTTTTTTTTATAACCATGCATTCCCATTACTGTCGTATATGAAGCGTTCATTTATATGTGAGTCATTGCACATCTTGGTTATGTTCCACCGATTTGTCAATTTCTGTGACAGTGTTAGTGTTTTATTTATTTTTTTACTTCATAATCAGTCAGTATTTGTTTTTTTCTAAGATTTTATTTATTTATTATAGAGAGGGAATGAGATAGAGAGAGAGAGCATGAGAGGGGGGAGGGTCAGGGGGAGAAGCAGACTCCGCGCTGAGCAGGGAGCCCGATGCGGTACTCGATCCTGGGACTCCAGGATCATGACCTGAACCGAAGGCAGTCGCTTAACCAACTGAACCACCCAGGCGCCCATCATCAGTCAATATTTGATATTGCAAGAACTGTCACCTCATTTTTTAAAGAGTGTTCTGGATATTCTTGGTTCTTAAAATTTCCATAAAGTTTTAAATCAGCTTGTCTAGGGGCACGCGGGTGGCTCAGTTGGTTAGGTGTTGGACTCTTGATTTCCACTCAGTCATGATCTCAAAGTCGTGGGATCAGCCGTTTGTTAGGCTCTGCACTGAGTGTGAAGCCTGCTTGGGATTCTCTCTCTCTCTCTCTCTCTGGCCCTACCACCCGCCCCACTCATGCATGTGTGTGTTCTCTCTCTCTAAAAAAAATTTTTTTTAATTTATCAAATTCAAACAAAAACAAAAACAAAACCCCAAACCAAAAGCAAAAGACTAAACCTGTTGGGAATTTTGATTAGGATTGAATTGAATTGATAAATTGTTTTTGAGTGAATTGGCATGTTTAGCCCTATTAAATCTTCCAGTTCACCATTTATTTTAGTTTTTAGTGACTTTCAGTAGATATAGAGGTCTTGCATATCTTTCGATAGGTCTATTTCTAGATACTTGATTTTTTATGCTATTGTAAAAAGAGATCTTTAAACAATATATTTGCTAACAGTTTTTGACTAGTATTTGGAAATGCAGTTGATTTGGGTATATTGATTCTTCATCTAGCAATTTTGCTAAATGCCCTTATTAATTTTAATGGCTTATCACTTTGGGGGGTTCTACGTACATAATATTTCATCTGTAGATAATTATGCCTTTTATTTATTTTTCCTGGCCTTCATGTTTTGGCTGGAATTGCTAGCACAATATAGAACAAAAGTAGTGATACCAGCAAACCTTTAATTGCTCTTTTCAGAGGAAAAAATTCTAATATTCAACATTGAGCAAATGGTAAGTTTACTTTGGTTTTCTATAGATATTCTTGACTAGATTAAGAAAATTCCAGTCTATTTTTTTGGGAAAGTTTTAAATAAAATCATGAATGGATGTTGAATTTTATAAATTTTTTTTAATTTACATCTAGAAATACTATGATTTTTTTCCCCTACTTTAATTTTGTAATGTGGTAGATCTCACTGTTTGATTTCCTAATGTTAAACTGACCTTACATTCCTAGGATAAATCCACCTTGATCATGATTGATTATCTTTTTAATAGATTTCTCAATTTGTGTTCCTAACATTTTCTTTAATATTTTTTATACTTCTGTCCATGAATGAGATTGGCCTATAATTTTCATTGTCTTTGTCAGTTAAAGGATACCTGAGAGCACAGTCAGGTTTTGGTATCAGAGTTTGCCAGCCTCCAAAAGTGAGTTGATGAATCTCTCTTTTCCTGTCATCCTAGAGTTTGTGTAATTTTGGCATTATTTCATCTTTGAATTTGCTGGAGAACACATCAGAGCTTGGAATTATTTTTAAAATTAATAATTTGTCTTAATTTTGCTAAGATATAGTTCACAGAGAGTTTACCCATTTCTCAAGCATTCACTTCAGTGGTTTTTTGGTATAGTCACAAATATGCGCAACCATCACCATGGTCAACTCTAGAACATTTTCGTCACCACAAAGAGAGATCATGTACCCTTCAGCTGTTACCTTTCCCCCTCTGTAAACCTCCAGCCCTAAGTTACCATTGACCTACTTCCTGTCTTATGAGTTGCCTGTTCTGGGCATCTCATGTAAATGGAACCAGACGATAGGTAGTCTTTCATAACTGGCTTCTTTCACTTGCCATAATGTTTTCAAGTTCATCCATGTGATAGCGTGTACCGGTCCTTCCTTCCTCTTTATGGCTGAATAATATTCTGCGTGTGTGTGTGTGTGTGTGTGTGTGTGTGTGTGTGTGTGTAAACCAAATTCAGTCTATTTACCCACGGATGGACATTTGGATTGTTTTCACTTCTTGGCTATTCTGAATAGTGCTGCTATGAGCATTCATGTTCAGGTTTTTGTTTGAATACCTGTTTTCAGTTCTTTTGGATCTATGCCTAGAAGTAGAATTTCTGGGTCATATGGTAATACTATAGTTAACTTTTTGAGGAGTTGCTAAAATGTTTTCCACCACAGCAGCACTATTTTATATTCTCACGGCAATGTACAAGGGTTCTAACTTCTCCACCCTCTGACAATTGTTATTTTCCATCTTTTAAAATTATAGCCCTCCTGGGGCGCCTGGGTGGCTCGGTCACTTAAGCATCTGCTTTCAGCTCAGGTCATGATCTCAGGGACCTGGGACTGAACCCCGCATTGTATCAGGCTCCCTGCTCAGCGGGGAGCCTGCTTTTCCCTTTCCCTCTGCCACTCCCCCTGCTTGTGCTCTCTTGCTCTCTCTCTGTCAAATAAATAAATAAAATCTTAAAGAAAAAAATTATAGCCATCCTAGTGGGTGTGAAGTTGTATCTCAGTGTTTTGATTTTCATTTCTCCAATGACTAATGATGTTAAGCATCTTTTCATATGCTTGGTGGCCATTTGTATATATAGTTTTAGAAAAATGCCCCTTTCATTTTTAAGGTGGGTTGTTCATCTTTTTTTGTTGAGTTGTAAGAACTCTTTATATAGTAAGTCTAGATCTCTTTATATAGGTAAGTCTAGATACTAGACTTATCAGATAAATGATCTGCAATTTTTATCCCCATGCTGTGGTTGTCTTTTCACTTTCTTAATCATGTTGTTTGATGCATAAAAGTTTTGGGTGTGCCTGGGTGGCCCAGTCCATTGAGCATCTGCCTTCAGCTCAGGTCATGATCCCGGGGTCCTGGGATCGAGTGGCGAGTTGGGCTACCTGCTCAGCGGGGAGTCTGCTTCTCCCTCTCCCTCTGCCCCTCCCCCCACTTGTGCATGCTCTTTCTCTCTATCACATAAATAAAAATAAAATAAAAATAAAAGTTTTGTACTTTCAGTTTATTTTTTCTTCTGCTCTTGTTGTTGGTATCATATCTAAGAAACCATTGCCAAGTCCAAGGTCATGGTTTGTCCCTATGTTTTTTTCTAGGAATTTTGTAGTTTTAGCTCTTATATTTAGATTTTTGATCCATTTTGAGTTAATTTTTTTAATAGTATGAGGTAAGGGTCTATTTTTTATTTTACATATTTTTAAATGTTAATTCCAGGATAATTAACCTACAGTGTTATATTAGTTTCAGGTGTACAATACAGTGATTCAACAATTCTATATACTACTCACTGCTCGTCATAAGTGTACTACTCTTCATCCCCTCCACCTATTTCACCCAGGGCCTAGTTATTTTTGAGGGAAGAATTGTTTCCCCTCTCCAAGTCAGTTTCTTTAAGATATTTTATTTTGCTATTTCTTCCTGTGTCATTTGCAGTTTTATATTTTTCTTTAAAAATTTCCATTTCGTCCATATATTCAAATTTATTGGAAATTTTTGTTTCAAAGTATCCTTTTATTATATTTGAAATATCTGTGCTATTGGTAATAATGTCTCTCCTTTTATTTATGATATTGGTTCTCTGTGTTTTCCTTTTTTTCTTGTTAAATTTTGCAAGTAGTTTGTCAATTTTATTACTCTCTTTACATAGAAACCACTACCTCATTTAATTTTTTTTAAAGATTTTATTTATTTATTTGAGAGAGAGAGAGAATGAGAGATAGAAAGCACGAGAGGGAAGAGGGTCAGAGGGAGAAGCGGACTCCCCGCCGAGCAGGAAGCCCGATGCGGGACTCGATCCCGGGACTCCAGGATCATGACCTGAGCCGAAGGCAGTCGCTTAACCAACTGAGCCACCCAGGCGCCCTAAAACAAGACTTTAAACCAACTATTTTAAATGTGCTGAAAAGACTTATAATGAACACCTTTGTACCAATAACCAAGCTTAGGAAATAAAACATTTCACATACAGATGAAATAAATATATTGTATATAACTTTCTGATTGCATTTCCTTTCTATCACAGAGGTAACCACAATCACAAATTTGGTGATTATCCTTGCAATTTATATCTTTATATTTTTGCTTGTATGTATATATTCCTAAGCAGTATGTACTGTTACTTTGCCTTCTGTAAAGTAATATATAAATGATAGTACCTGGTATGTGTTTTTCCAGAGATAGTTTTGCTAAACATTATTCCTTTAATAAACATTTTTTCCTGAAGTAATTTGTTTTGAGATAATTTAGAATTGGTTGTTGAAGCTTTTCTTTTCTTTTTTAAGCAATCTCTACACCCAATGTGGGGCTCAAACTCACGAACCTGAGATCAAGAGTCACATGCTCCACCAACTGAGCCAACCAGGTGCCCATTGAAGCACTTTTTATGGTGGCTGCTCCAATCTTTGTCAGATTTATCGCTATGTTGGCATCAGTAATTGCCTTTTCTTGTTTGGGTTGTGACTTTTCTTGTCCTTGGTATGAATGATTTTTTTATTGTATCCTGGAAATTTGGAATATTAAGTGTTGAGACCTTGGATCCTATTTATTTTATTTTATTTTATTTTATTTTATTTTATTTCATTTCATTTCATTTTATTTTGTATTTCAGCAGGCGGTCACCCTGTTTATGTTTAGGGCATCGTCCCTGGCTTTCTTTTCTGGGCTGTGGTTCCAATGATAATGTATAGGATTCAGAGCCTGTATAGTGCTATTCTGGTCCATCTCACTCACCTGGCACCATCAGGGCTCCTGCTTGCTTGTGCTGATGCTGCCCGCAGGGGTGGAGTGCACTTTCCCAGGCAGGTCCTGCTAGGAGGAGTGTGGGAGATGCCAGGCTATGGGACAGTGAGTGCTTCCCTGAGACTGTTGTCTGGGCTATGCTGTGCCTACCTAATCACGCTGGTATTGTCTGAGGGAGTGGAAGGCACTTTCCTGGGCTCTCGGTGGTGGGTGGAGGATGCTGAGCATGTGGGATGGAGTGTTTTCCAGGGCCCTCTCTCTAGGTCATCTGGTGCTGACAGGCTTCTTCCTCTATCTCTGCCAGTGCCCCTGAGGGAGAGAAGCATGTACATGGGCCTCCTTCTGCCTCTGGTGGTAGTGGTGGGGGTCTTTTACCACTGGGTAGAGGCCCAAGAGATGGGTCTCCTTCTACTGCTGAGTGGAGGGCCAGGAAACACTGAGCTTCTGGGTGGTTTGCAGGTGCTGCTGGTGTAGGCAGAGCAGGCCAGCCAGGTATGGCATGGAGATGTGTTCCCCGTTAGGTCTCTGATGAGCTGCCTCTTTCCTGGGCCTTTTCCTAGCTAGTTCTAAAGGTTTTTGTTTTTTTTTCTTTTTTTTTTTGTCTTTGCCTTTTGGTGGTTCTGAGCTGTGTGCCTCTCCAGTGCCCAGTCTGGGATATATGGGAGACAAAAGAAATCCCAGGGAATTCCCTGCCATGTTGTTCCTCAAGTCCTAAGGTCCCTAGCCCATCTGCTTTCCTCGTTCTACCTTTCAGAGTCCTCTTATGGTTGTCTGTAATTATTTCCAGGATTTCCCTCTCCCTCTGCCCCCTCCAAATGAAAAAAGAATGAATCCAACATCTTTGTAACAATAGAGGTAAGACATGTTTTTGGTAGAATGTCTCTAGTTCATCTAAGTTCAATCAGCTAATAGATTAAATACTAATTGAGATTAATTACAAGCAGTATACATCTCCCAACACTAAAAAGGAGTATTTGGTCAGTTAGTTGATTTGATGAATACTTATTTTTCCCATATATTCCTTTGACATTGTGTATATGTGTATGTGTATCTATCTATCATCTATCTATCCATCTTTATTTTCTGAACTAGAGTCTAGGTGTGTTTCTTCATTTTATGCCTCAAAAAGTATTTCTACATTATTTATAATATCTAGATAATAACATCACTGTGCATTAACATTAAATTAACATCTACTTATTCTTAATCCAGTTTAGGTAGATTTAGATGGTTCAAAATTGCAAGGAGAAAAACAATTTATTTTGGAAGATTGCACATTTTTGTAAGTTTCTAAAACACAAACTTTTAATAAATTTTATATTTGAAGAATTATTGTGATGATTCACTTATTAATTCATGAATCTAATGATACAACCATCAAATACTTTTTGACTGCCATTCTATCTTCACATGTTTAATTTGTGGGGGAGGTCTAAAATTTGGATCCCAATTGTATTCTGGTGATAACAACTTAGTGGGTTTATTGATAAACAAATATTTGTTTAGGTAATGTTCATATGCACTCTTAAATCCACTTCTGGCATCATTTTGAACTCCTTTTTTATATTCTTCAATGAAGGCTAAAACTTCATAGGGTGTGCCACCAAAAATTGCACCATGGTAATAGAAATCTCCCTCTCCAAAAGGGATGAAAACTGCTGAGTTAGGGCTTCTCTCATAAGGGAAATTTTTGGCATGTCCAAAATACCACCATGCATGGAGTTGAGCTACAGACTTGCCCAGGGCTTCTACACCAAAGTTATTCTTGAAGATCTGGTTTACAGTCATACTGAAGAGAAAGTCAACTTCGTACTGGATGTGTTCTAGGATGTATATATTCAAGTTCCTCATGTATATGTAATTCAGGTCTTTCCACACATGTTGTCTGAGTACAATACATAGTTTAAATGTTCGAAGGGGACCTAACTCTATGGGAGGTAGTTTGGAGAAGTCCTCCATCAAGATGTAAAAGATAACATTGTAGCCACTCATGAAGTGTTTATTAGCAGACTGGATGAACTGTTGCAGGTACTGATCTACAAACCTGTGAAACAGGAAAAACAAAACACTTATTTTGAAAACCCATCAGGAGAATTCATGTCACTTAAGCATGCTAACACATGTGTCATTGTTGCTAAAGAACTACCAGGAGGTAGAAGCAGAGAAGTTGGGTCTAGAGCTTAACTATGTTGGTTAATGAAAGAGAAGGTAGTGAGCTTGGGGGCCTGAGAAGAGCCATAAAGTTGTTTGAGAAGAAAGGAAAAGAGAGCTAAATGGATATTAATAAAAAGATTCCCAAGTCATGTAAAGGACTCAGCCATGGCTGGAGAAAATAACCACTATAAATAATTGTGCAGGTCAGCCAGAAATCATGATTAGGGTTAATTATGAGTAACTCTTTGGATGTAGAGAATTCATGGGTGCTTATCCATGTTTTTTCCAAAATAAAAAAGGATGAATGTTAGTAGCACCTACTTTCCAGTAGCAAACACAGCCAAGCCTATGGTAATGTTCAGCCTTTTGTAATACTTTTCCAGGACTTGTCTATTGTAAGTTCCTTCCCATATGATTGGCGCAAACCAATCAGTTGTTGTTTTTACATCAGGACGTTTTCTGTTGAACAAACATGAAACAAATTAAGCTATCATGACAACAGAAGTTGTGGTCCAAGTGATAATAGCTAATGATTACAAAGTACTTACAAAGTGCCAGGCATGGTGATTAAGTGCTTTATAGTCTTCATTTAATCCTTGCAATGTCTTACAATGTAAGTACCATTCTTATCTCTATTTTTCATATGAGGAAACGTGAGCACAGATTGGTTGAGTCAATTACTTAGTATTCCATAGCTAACAAATGGCAGAGTCAAGATTGAAGATCAACCAGTTGGCTTTCCCAATCTGTGCTTTAATCAGTACACCAAACTGCCTTTTGAGCCCAGGGATTTTTTTTCCCTTGAGCTCTGACTGCAGCTTAAACTAGCAGCCCAGTGTCTGAACATTTCTCTGATTATCGCCTAAAGCAGACAGCACCACTGTCTGCGTTTATCTTCCCCCTTTTCGTCCGAGGAGATCTAGAGTACCTTCTTCCCACTCTTCCTACTGCTCTAGGCCTGTCCGTGCAACCTGGAAGAAAATAACGTTAGTCCAAAAAAGATTAATATTAGGTTTCCTTCTAATAGTAACAAAATAACAGCAGAAGCAGCAGCATTAGTACTAATAAACAAACAAACAAAAAACAAAGCAAACAGGGGGGTGGGGGGATGGGTTAGCCTGGTGATGGGTATTGAGGAGGGCACGTTCTGCATGGAGCACTGGGTGTTATGAACAAACAATGAATCATGGAACACTGCATCAAAAACTAATGTAATATATGGTGATTAACATAACAATAAAAAATTAAAAAAAAACAAAGCAAACAAACAGAAGTAAAAATAAACAGTTCGGCTGGAGGCAGGGCATTAAACTATTAAAGCAAATTAACACCCTCATTTTGGAAGGAATTGAATACAAAGTAAGAGGCCATTTTGCTTTGGTGATTACAGGTTTTGTTTACAAATCCAGACCCAGATAAGGTAAGATTTGGCAACCCTTAATAGTACATTAATAATAAAAAAATTCTTCAAAAGTACCCTTACTCTTGGGTGCCTGGGTGGCTCAGTTGGTTAAGCTACTGCCTTCAGCTCAGGTCATGATCCTCGAGTCTCGGGATCGAGTCCCGCATCGGGCTCCCTGCGGGCCAGGGAATCTGCTTCTCCCTCTGACCTTACCCCGTCTTGTGCTCTCTCTCTCTCAAATAAATAAATACAGTCTTTAAAAAGAAAAGTACCCTTACTCTTACTATTTTAGGGATTTTTTTAAACTTCCACATTTATTTATTATACATTTATTTTTAAACCCTTCTTAGAGTTTATAGTTATACACTTCTATTTGACTCACAAGTCTCAAATTCCACCTTAATACTGGCCAGATGTACCCTTATTGCAGTGGTGATGCTTATCAATTAGGCACATCACAGATGCAAATCAGTATCTATTTGAGAAGATGAAAGTGTTTGAAGATTATCCCTCTTTCTTCATTAGATCAGATTAAAGATTTGCTGACAGAACAAAAAGAGTCTCTGAAAGCAGAAGTTGGTTAAAAACTTGTGTTTAGAAATTGTTTGATAAAACAGAAAAGGAAGAGGGAGGAGAGACTTAAGAGTCCTTAGATTTCTCTTACAGGTATGGAACTCCTTACCTGGAAGGTAAATACTGGCCAGAGGGCATTCTGTGCAAAGGATTTGCTCAGCAATCAGGCGGACAAGATGATGTACCCTCTGGATGGCAACCAGACACCTTGCCCAGTCTCCCTTGTGGCTGACTTAGTGTCTCTGTATAAAGTGGCCCCAGTTACTTGGAGTCCAAGGGAGTTTATGCCCAGGCTCAAAGACATGGACATCTCCTTGCTAAGACTGAGCTATACCCAGTGCTGAGTACCCAACTTGTCAACAACAGGGGACAATCGGAGCCCACAGTATGACACCATTTCCCAGGGGGACCGGCCAGCTAGATGGCTGGTTGATTCTATTAGACTCCATAAAGAAAGGGACAACACTTTTCCTTCAGGGGAATATTTTATGTTATGGGTAGGGATTTGCTTTTCCTGCCTACAAATCTGTCAGCTTTGTTGACTCGCAGAATATCTTTTTTTTTTTCCCAGAATATCTTATTAATTGCCATTGTATCACACATAACATTGCCTCCATCCAAGGTACTTGTTTCATGGTGAAAGTACTGTAGCAGTTAGCCCACTTCCATAAAGTTCTCTGGTCTGACTATGTGCCTCACTGTCCAGAGGCAGCTGACCTAGTAGAAAGTGGAATAGCCAGGGAAAGTCTCAATTTCAGTGTTAGTTCCAAGATTAAGTCCCTGAAAAGGCTGAGGAACTGTTCTATAGTAGTACGCCAGTCATGCTTTGAATCAGTGAGCACTATGAGATACTGTTTCTTCCAAAGCTAACATGCACAGTTCATAAAACAAGGTGGAGGTGGAGATGTTCCTGCTCACAATTGCATCTAATAATTCACTTATGGAATGTTTACTTGCCGTTGTTGTGACCTTGGGTCCAGTGTGTGTAGTGTTCTCAGTTCCCAAGGGAGGAGTCTTTCCTCTAAGAAGTAAGTCATGGTTCCGTGAACCTGATAGCAGGTCACCTGTGGTTCCTTACGCTGCTGAGCTAACAGGCAGAAAATCGAATTACTGCTGTTGAGATCTTGACAGTGGCTGCGTCCATATACAACTACAGCTTCTGGTGGGCAGCCCTTTCCTAGTTCCAGAAATCCCTGGTCTCCAGGAACACCGTCCCTTCCCGTGTCCCTTTAGGCTGAGGGTGGTCACAGCTCCTTGCCGTTGCAGGCCTCTCGATGCTTCCATATCCTTTGCTGGGTCTCTTCACCTTGTTCAAAATTATTTCAATGCTAGAAGGTATTACTAAGAGTTGACGAGATGTGATCATGACGATGATATGGGAGGGTATAATTTGTTCAAAAGGTAGTTCTGGAGAGAGAGGGTGGGGGCTCTTCCTGTAAGTCCAGGCTATTTTGATGTCTATCTAGTTTTAGAAAACTGAACATGAGTCTAAAAAGTGTAAGAAGCAGAAGTGATATCATAGAGATAAATATACCGTGAGCAAATAGAATCATGATAGTACTAGAGAATTTCCGGGTGTATGTTTCCTGCATCTACTCCTGCTCCACAGTATACAGTCTTCTACCTCCCTTCTTCCTAGCCAGATTGCCATATTAGCAGCCTAATTGGTACCCTTTTCATCCCCCTGCCATATTCATAGAATTCTAGAGATAACATGTGTATAATATGCACATATACATTAAATACACACATATATCCAGGCTTTTAAAATCTTGTTTATTTTGTAATAATGAGATAATGCACACTTTCTGCAGCTTGTCTTTTTACTCAGCACAACCTTGTGGAAATCTTGCCGGTTATCTGGACTAGTTCTCATTCACCCTTTGTAATGGCTGCATAATATTTCAAGGTGTGGACAGTTTGTTTAGCCATTTCCTTAGGAATAAGTTTTCATTTTATTTCTGGGATTTCTGTCCTTATAAAAAGTGATACAACAAACCTTAATCTCGTGTCCTTAGGTATTGTTGCTGTTATTTTTACTGGCTGATCCTAGGAGTAGGATTGCTGTATACCTACGTTCATTTTTAATAGTTGTTACTCGGGGCGCCTGGGTGGCACAGTTGGTTAAGCATCTGACTCTTGGTTTCAACTCAGGTCGTGATCTCATGGGTCATGAGATTGAGCCCTGCATGGGGCTGCGTGCTCTGTGAGGAGTCTGCTTGAAGATTCTCTCCCTCTGCCCTTTCCCCCACTTGCTCACACTTGGTCTCAAATAAATACATACATACGTATATACAAAAATAAATAAAAATATAAATAAAGTTTTTTTTAAAAAATTGGTTTGTTACCTAATTACTTTTTTAAAAGGCTACAATACTTCACCTTCCCACCAGCATTTCCCCTATACTATTAGATTGTAGCTTTAAAAAGATTTCAGTTTGTTGGGTATAAATAATAGCTCATTTTTACATTATTTTACATTTCTCTGATTTCTAGTGAATTTGAGTATCTTTTTGTATACTTATTGACTATCTCAATTTGCTCTAATGTAAGCAAATTATATATAAATATAAAATATATATATATTTTAGAGAGAGAGCATCAGCAGTGGGGGAGGGGCAGAGGGAGAGGAAGAGAGAGAATCTCAAGCAGGCTCCACGCTCAGCGCAGAGCCCAATGTGGGGCTCCATCTCATGAACCTGAGAGATCATGACCTGAGCCAAAATTAAAAGTCAGATGCTTAACTGACTGAAGCCACCCAGATGCCCCAAGTTTCATATTTCTCTATTGAATTGTTAATTTCTTTCTCACCAGTTTATAAAGTTCCTTATATTTCGATAATTGTTATCTGTATTACAAATAATTTTTCCCAGATTTTTTGTCTACTAAATTTTTGGTTTTAAACCAAATAAAAGTTATTTTTTTTAATATAGTGAAATATGTCTTTTTAAATAGCTAGTAGGTTTCCAGCATGAATTAAGATTTCCTTCTTACCAAGACTTTACATGATGTCATACTGATTTTCTAACAAAAATTTTTACTGCTTTATTTTTTACAGTTAAGTCTGTAATCTGTCAGGAACTTATCTTTATGCCATAGGAGTAAAGCCCCATTTTTCCCCATACTTAGGCTGCTAGTAGTGTCAGTATAATTTATGAAATAATCTATCCTTTCCTCACTGATTTTTAAAATACCGTTTTTGTTGTATATCAACTTTAATGCAATGTGATCTAATTCTGTATTTACTACTCCTCTGATCCATTCCATGTTGATTTGATCATAATGATGTTTGGATATTTAAGGCAAAAACCCTCTTAACTTTCTTATTTTTCACACTTTCCTTGGATGTTCGGAGACATTTATTCTTTCATATTTACTTTAAGCTTATGGATTTTTCTGCCTAATAAGAACCAAAAATGAGCTTCTTCCCTGATATCTCAATATTGAAGAGGTCATTTCATTTTAAACTAAAAGCCAGTATGATGCTTCATAATAAAGCACAATGCCTTCTATCACTACTATTATATTGTTATGAAGGTGCTATCATTTGGATTAGACAAAAGGTCTCATGTATTTATTTATTCTAC